AAATGTTAAGCATCAGCTAGCTGTGCTGGGCACTGACTAGGCCCTTCGTCTATATAAACACTTTTCCTTTTCTTCCTTTTCTTTTCTTTCTTTTCCTTTTTTTTTTTTTTTTTTTTTTTTGAGAGGGAGTCTTGCTCTGACACCCAGGCTGGAGTGCAGTGGCACGATCTCGGCTCACTGCAACCTCCGTCTCCCGGGTTCAAGTGATTCTCCTGCCTCAGCCTCCCGAGTAGCTGGGACTATAGGCGCATGTCACCACGCCTGGCTAATTTTTGTATTTTTTTAGTAGAGATGGGGTTTCACCATATTGGCCAGCCTGGTCTCAAACTACTGACCTCGTGATCCACCCTCCTCAGTGTCCCAAAGTGCTGGGATTACAGGTGTGAGCCACAATGCCCATCATCTTTTCTTTTCTTTTCTTTTTTTTTTCTTTTGAGACAGTCTCCCTCTGTTGCCCAGTCTGGAGTGTAGTGGTGTGATCTCGGCTCACTGCAATATCAGCCTCCCGGGTACAAGCGATTCTCATGCCTCAGCCTTCTGAGGAGGCAGGATTACAGGCACCCACCACCACGCCTGGCTAAATTTTTGTATTTTTAGTAGAGACGGAGCTTCACCATGTTGCTCAGGCTGGTCTGGAACTCCTGACCTCAAGTGATCTGCCCACCTCAGCCTCCCAAACTGCTGGGATTATAGGCCTGAGTCACCGCGCCTGGCTCACAAACACATTTAACTATCCATAGATCTGAGAGGCAGGTTTTATTAACTCCATTTTATAGTTCAGGACGCAGGCTTAGGTAAGGTGTGGCGCTATGTCTCCATAGGAGGTGGGCTGGGCCATTTGCAGTCAATGTTGGCCAGTTTTATGATGAAATTTATGACACAAAAGGGGTGTACTCACCTTTGGTATAGTATGGCCCAGGTTATTATTGCACAGCTTGAATAAGATCAAAGTCTTCGTGTGTTGTCGTGTTGCACTGGAGGGCTATCAAGTGTGACCCCAATATATTTTTTTCTTTTTCTTTTTCTTTTTCTTTTTTTGAGACTATAAATCTCACTCTGTCACTTAGTATTAGGAGGACACGTTTTTCTTAAGTACCAGAACAGTTGGTACCTAGAAAGAAATTACTCTTCAGAGTGGTGAATTATGCTGGATTTTAGGCACATTAGGCCTAAGCCAACACGACCTCCTCTAGGCGCCCTTACCCCTTCCCACAGATGGCCTAGAATTCTTTTCTGTCCAGGGGTCAGGAAAAACAAAGTTGAGAAGAAATTCGTTAACGTTCTTTGAATGCTTTAAAAGGGGAAATTTGCAAGACTAAAGAATGGATTGGAGGGGAGGTAGGTTTGGAGGAAGAAGGGGGTGGGGCCCTGAAAAGGCTTCAAGGAGCTGCTCTCAGCTGGAAGGGGATAAGCATCTTCTTGGAGAACTGTGGCATCTGGTTGGAACACCTACAAAAGCTTAAGCAATGAGGTTGTGCCCCTCTTGCAGTACAAAGCTGAAAATTATCCAAGCCAAGGGCAGATATCTCAATGTCCTTGTTACTCCATATGGCCTTGGGATTCTCCTGTGGCCTTCCAGTAAAGAGCTGCTGGGTCCTGGCAAGGCTGTGGCAGTGGTGGGGTTGGGGTTAAGGATAATCCCACTTGGCCAGTGGCTGGACAGTCACCCATGTCTCTACTGTGGACCACAGGACAGCGAAGGCACCAATCGGCAGACAAGTCCCAGGTGGGAGCGAGTATAAGGATGCGTCTCCTTTTCTTCCTTCTAGAGGGTAACTAAGGGGATGTGGAGGGAGCATGCATGGTGGGAGGCTGAGGATTGCCATGTTCATTTCTTGAGTTATTGTTTGCTGTTGGGGCCCTGGGATTCTGACTGAGATCTGTAATTCTGAAGCCTTCTCACTCTTCCTGGCAGATGGCCTGTGTTTCAGTATTGAGTTTGTAAGGGTGCTATTTATGAGGCAGGAAAAGGAAAAAAAAAAAATGTGTTGTTGTGTTGCACCTCAGGGCTATCAAGTGTGACCCCAATATATTTTTTTCTTTTTCTTTTTTTTTTTTTTTTGAGATTATAAATCTCACTCTGTCACTTAGGCTGGAGTGCAGTGGTGAAATCACAGCTCACTGCAGCCTTGACCTCCCACCTCAGTCTCTCAAGTAGCTGGGACTACAGGCACATGCCACCACTCTTGGCTAATTAAAAATAAAGTTTTTTTAAAGACAGGGTCTCCCTGTGTTGCCCAGGCTGGTCTCAAATTCCCTGGCTCAAGTGATCATTCGGCCTGGACCTCCCGAAGTGCTGGGATTACAGGCATGAGTCACCACACCCAGCCTACCACAATATTTCTTAAATCTCAGTGGCCAGACCTGGAATAGGTTGCTATTCAAAAGCAGCTTGTAGTTTTTGTTTGTTTGTTTGTTTTGTTTTGTTTTGTTTGAGACAGTCTCACTCTGTCGCCAGGCTGGAGTGCAGTGGTGTGATCTCGGCTCACCGCAACCTCCGCCTCCGGGTTCAAGCAATTCTCCTGCCTCAGCCTCCAGAGTACCTGGGATTACAGGCACGCGCGACCATGCCCAGTTAATTTTTAGTGGAGACAGGGTTTCACCATGTTGGCCAGGACGGTCTCGATCTCTTGACCTCATGATCCGCCTGCCTCAGCCTCCCAAAGTGCTGGCATTACAGGTGTGAGCCACCGTGCCCGGCAGCAGCGTGTAGTTTTCTGATTTATGTTTTTTTTTTTTTTTAACTTGGAAAAAAATTGTTCTCTTAGGACGTATGATTTGTGTTTAAATGAAGACTGCTCTTTTATTTGGGAGAATCCTCTCCCAGTACTTGAGCGGGCTTCTTGGTTTGGCAAAGGCAAAGCCCAACGCTCATAGTGAGTGGAAGGGACAGACATAACTGAACTGCTCTGCACAATAATGCCAATGGTTGTCTTTTGTTAATAGGAGTCCTGACTCTGATTACATTTACAGGGAGTCCAGTCTGAAATATGTCGGGGTAGAGGTAGAGGGAAAAGTCCCTTCTGTTGACAGCTTGCCAAAGGTGTTAAGAGTAAAGGGATGGCCTTGAGGTGAAGAGAATTCCTTTGCGAGACAGGCCAGGGACTATAGATGCTGCATAATCTAATAGCCACTTCTAAGTCTTCTCAGCTTTGTAATGCCCCAAAGTTTCAGCAACAGCCTGGTTGGTGTTTGCTATGCTTAGGGGAATAAGGGAGGGGGCTGTGTCCACACTTAAGATTTGCTTCCATCCTCTAGGATATGACCCCAGCCCCCAGGCCAGAGTGGTGGTAGCTGCAGGTGTGTGACTGGTGATTCTGAAGCTCTAGGTGGTGGCTTGCAGCAGAATTCTGGAATTTTTTTTTTTTTTTTTTTTTTTTTTTGAGACAGGAGTCTTGCTCTGTTGCCTAGGCTAGAGCGCAGTGATGTGATCTCTGCTCACTGCAACCTCCACCTCTCAGGTTCAAGCAATTCTCCTGTCTCAGCCTTACAAGTAGCTGGGATTACAGGAGTGTACCACCATGTCTGGCTAATTTTTGTATTTTTCTTTTTTAGTAGAGATGGGGGGGGGTCTCACCATGTTGGCCAGGCTGGTCTTGAACTCCTGACCTCAAGTGATCCACCTGCCTTGGCGTCCCAAAATGCTGGGATTACAGGCATGAGCCCACCACACCCGGCCTGGAATGCTGTCTATTGAGGAAAGGAAGAGGCTGAACTGGGGAATGCCAGGGTTGAAGTTCAAGCAAGTGTAAAACTCTGGCCTTAACTGAATCACGAGTAGGAAACAAGTTAGTCAGGAACGGATTTGTGGGGCATGAAAACCTTTGAGGATTCTCAGGATTGTTTGGAAGAGGAGACTGAATTTTCTGTCACTAAGTAGGGTGGGATTTGTTTTCAGTTGGTAATTTTTTGATGGGGTGCGTCAGGGTCCCACTCTGTCACCCTGGCTGGAGTGCAGTGGCATGATCACGAGTCAGTGCCGCCTCAACCTCCTGGGCTCAAGCAATCGTCTCACCTCAGCCTACCAAGTAGCTGGGACTACAGGTGCATGCCACCACACCTGGCTAATTTTTGTATTTTTTGTAAAGACGGGGTTTTACTATGTTGCACAGACTGGTCTCAAACTCCTAGGCTCAAGCGATCTGCCCACCTCAGCATCCCAAAGTGCTGGGATTAAGGGCAGGAGCCACCGCGCCCGGCCTATAGTTGACAATTAACTAGAAATGTGACGTTGGAATTATAGAGGGAGGGTAACGAGACTCATTACTTACTAGCGCAGGGTAGGAGACATTAGTGGGCCGCAGGTTTCATCCTTAAATTTCTGTGAAGCCTTTCTTGAGGACATCTGTCCTTTCCTTCTCGCCCTCAGTGTGTGGTTTTCCTTTCTCTGGCTCCCACTGCACTCTGCACACACCTTTATCACAGTAACCACTTACAGTGTATTGTAACTTGTAATTATCTATGTACACGTCTCCAAGTAGACTGACCTCAAGGGCAAGGGACTGGCGCTGGTACTCAGACCCCGGGTTCAAGTTCCAGCTGCATCTCTAGCTAGTTTTGTGATCTTAGGCAAATAACTTAATCACTCTATGACTCAATTTCCTTGACTTATAAAATTGGCATAAGACTGTCATATGCCGTTGCTGGGCATATTAAGGTTACAATGCATGAAAAGTACGAGGCAAAAGGTAAGTGCAAAATAAAGGGCGCCTAAAACGGTATTTGTGTGTTAATTAACCTGAGCTACCTTTACGTGTGCACTCAGCAAACACTGAGCACCTATTCTCCTCTGGGACCCTGGAACGCCTCCTCCGGAGTGGAGCAGCCTCACGTGTGGCCTGTGGGCCTTGTCCCACGGGCCGGCTCGGGGTTGGCTCAGCCGAAGAGAAAACCCTGCCGACAGCCCTTTCGATCTCGTCAGCGATTGGGTCAGGACCGTCCCACAATTACTCTTGTTGCTGGGCTCGGAAATGGGGAGCGGTGCTAGGTTGCGCGTGCGCAGATTGAGAATGGAGCTTTCCGGTCGGGCGGGAGGAGGTGACGTCAGGAGTGGTGGCGGGTGGGGGCCTCTGGTAGCCTTGGGGACGCTGTATCTGTGGGCCTTTCAACCGCGTCACAAATCAGCGACCGAACTCTGGCGGTGGTGGCTGAGACGGCGAAGGCGGCAGCGGCGGCGACAGCTCTGGGGTTTGCGTCTCGGGGTGTGTCGGCCGCCGCTGCTGCTCGGGCCTGGTATGTACAGATGGCTGGTTAGGATTCTCGGCACCATTTTCCGTTTCTGCGACCGGTCGGTGCCCCCTGCCCGGGCCCTCCTGAAGAGGCGGCGCTCAGACAGGTGAGACCAGAGGGGGCTGAGCGCCGGCCTGGCCTTACCCCCTCCCCCACAGCAGGCTCCTCGGCCGTGATAGCTTTGATTCAGCCAGGCTCACCCGAAGCAGGTCGCCGGGATCCTAGTGACGTAGTGGCTCCCGCCGGGCTGTGGGGAGGCAGCTCCTGATGAAGGAGGAGCTGGTCGTCTTCGGAGCGGCCGGTGATGGCAGGGTCTTTGACATTCTTGTCAGAGGCCAAGCTGGTTGCTGATAACAAATGGGGCTTTGCCGCTCTTAGGCTGAACACTAACATTGAAGGAATACTGTCTTTGTTGTGGCTCACTGTTTACAAAGCACCCTCCCAAGTGTCATCTGCAGACATTAAGTGCAGTTAAAGGAAGTGAGATTCATAGCTTGCCCAAAGCCGTTTTGACTGCAAGTACTGTCCTTGCAGCAAGAAACAGCAGCTGTTTTGTTATAGAACAGCTGTCAAACAGTCTGTGTGTTTGGGGCCAGAAGGGTTTTGTGCTTTAGAATTAGTGAATGAGTAAAAAGGCTTAGGTGCCTCACTCCTTTAAAACAATCACTAGTCTGTACTTTTAAATTTGGTTAAAATGTGGGGGAAACTCAAAGCTGTTCTTTTCTTTCTTTTTCTTTTGGTTGAGACGGAGTCTTGCTCTGTCGCCCAGGCTGGAGTGCAGTGGCGCGATCTCGGCTCACTGAAAGCTCCGCCTCCCGAGGTCGCGCCATTCTCCTGCCTCAGCCTCCCGAGTAGCTGGGACTACAGGCGCGTGCGGCCACGCCCGGCTAATTTTTGTATTTTTAGTAGAGATGGGGTTTCACCATATTGGCCAGGCTGGCCTTGAACTCCTGACCTCAAGTGATCCGCCCACCCCAGCCTCTGGAAGTGCTGGGACTGCAGGCATGAGCCCCTGCACCCGGCCCCAAAAGCTGTTCTTATTTAGCATCTACTCTTTGGAGTGTCCCATTTTTATTGTATCGACCTCCTTGCCTGAAAATCTAGAAAATAAAACACTATACAAATGCTGTGCCCCCTCTCCAACTTTAGTGATCAAATGTTAATTTCTTTTTTTTTTTTTTTCCGAGACGGAGTCTCGCTCTGTCCCCCAGGCTAGAGTGCAGTGGTGCAATCTCTACTCACTGCAAGCTCCGCCTCCCGAGGTCGCGCCATTCTCCTGCCTCAGCCTCCCGAGTAGCTGGGACTACAGGCGCCCAACACCACACCCAGCTAACTTTTTGTACTTTTTAGTAGAGATGGGTTTTCACCATCTTAGCCAGGATGGTCTCGATCTCCTGACCTCGTGATCCGCCCGCCTCGGCCTCCCAAAGTGCTGGGATTACAGGTGTGAGCCACCGCGTCAGGGTTTTTTTTGTTGTTTTCTTTTTTTTTTTTTTTTTTGAGACGGAATCTCATTTTGTTGCCCAAGCTGAAGTGCAGTGGCACGATCTCAGCTCACTACAACCTCTGCCCACTGGGTTCAGGCGATTCTCCTGCCTCAGCCTCCCTAGTAGCTGGGATTGCAGGCTCCTGCCACTGCACTCAGCTACTTTTTTTGTACTTTTTAGTAGAGATGGGTTTTCACCATCTTAGCCAGGCTGGTCTTGAACTCCTGACCTCGTGATCCACCCACCTCGGCCTCCCAAAGTGCTGGGATTACAGGTGTAAGCCACCGCGCCCGGCCACGCCCAGCTAATTTTTTGTATTTTTAGTAGAGACGGGGTTTTACCGTGTTAGCCAGGATGGTCTGGATCTCCTGACCTCGTGATCCACCCGCCTCGACCTCCCAAAGGCTGGGATGACAGGCGTGAGCTACCGCTCCCGGCTGTTAATTTCATTTTTTTAACTAAGCCTCAATATCAAGAAAAGTGGAAGAAGGGTTCATTTGTGGGAGCTTGAGAGAACAAGATGTCTAATACATTAGACTGAGAATGCAGATTATTGATGAGATTGGTTGTTGACTAAATTGCATCATGTGTTCCAGAGATTCATGGTTTTGCCTTATTTTTCTCTCCTATCTTTCTGTAGGGTTGATGTGAGGATCATTTGATAATGTGGTGTGAAGTGCCTAAACTGATGCTTACTGTGTATAAGGGTAGTGTTTGTCTATTCTACCCTGGGGCCTTTTGCAGAGTCTGGTGCATGATAAGCACTTGGTCCCGATTTATCGAATAAGGGAAAGCTAATTTCCTCTCCCTTGTCCTCTCTTTGATGTGAATCCCTGCTAGTCAGTGGAACATGGTTTGGTGATCAAAACCTTGATTTTTACTATATTTCAGATGTTCACATTCTTAATCCAAAACAACGCTTCTCGGTGTAAACAATTTTTCAGTCAAAATGAAGCCCAGCAGGGCTTGTTGGAATGTATAAAGCTGAGTTGAATAAAATCCTGGGATCTCATTCTATTCTATTCTTTTTTTTTTTTGGCATGTGTGAATATAATTGATCAGAAGGGTTCAGAGAGATGATAAGTAATATAATGTGATCCTTTACCATTCTTGACATCTGGGTCCTGAAACTTTCCACAATTCCAAAGTTCTTTATTACCACCATAATATAGTTTGCGTGATAAAAATGAAGTTAAATATAACCCTTGATTAAGGTTTGTCTTTTTTAACTTGTGGAACAGTTTTTTTTTAAACTCCCTTACACACAAAAGAAAAAACAATAAAAAAGAATTGTCTTTTAAGGCCGTTCATATTAATACTGTCACTTAAAGTAAAAGATGACTTTCTTTGGGGATCATTTTCAAAAGGAAATTGTTTGTTGGTTGGTTTTTTTTTTTTTTTTTGAGACAGAGTCTCGCTGTCTCGCCCAGGCTGCAGTGCAGTGGCGCGATCTCGGCTCACTGCAAGCTCCGCCTCCCGGGTTCACGCCATTCTCCCGCCTCAGCCTCCGAGTAGCTGGGACTACAGGCGCCTGCCACCACGCCCGGCTAGTTTTTTTTTTTTTTTTGTACTTTCAGTAGAGACGTGGTTTCACCATGTTAGCCAGGATGGTCTCGATTTCCTGACCTCGTGATCCACCCGCCTTGGCCTCCCAAAGTGCTGGGATTACAGGCTTGAGCCACCGCGCCCGGCCTGTTTGTTGCTTTTAAATCATTTCTGGAGTGAAAGAGAAAATACCAGCCCTAAACTCTTACCTGGGTTCATTTACTAGCTAAATGACTTTGGCCAGTTTTAAGTTTGTACTTTAACGAGATGCAAATTACTATTTGTTAAGAAGTTTGGGTCTCTCTCAAATAGTTGAAACTGTAGCAGTAAATCTTCAAATGTGAAAAACCTACTATAGAATAGCATTCTCTCTTTTGTTTTGCTTTTATTTTTATTTTCATTTCTTTTTGAGACAAGGCCTCAGTCTTGATTAGGCTGGAGTGCAGTGGCATGACCTGGGCTCACTGCAGCCTCAACTTCCTGGGCTTAAGTGATCCTCCTGTCTTAGCCTCCCGTGTAGCTGGGACCACAGTCACATACCACCAACGCTGGCTAATTATTTATTTATTTATTTTTTCATAGAGATGAGGTCTTACTTTGTTGCCCAGGCTGATGTCAAACTCCAAGGCTCAAGCAATCCTCCACTTTGGCCTCCCAAAGTGCTGGGATTACAGGCACGAGCCATTGCGTCCCACCAGCATTGTCTTTTAAAACATCAGTTGGATCTCATTTTATGACAAAGTGACAGAAGGGGGATGTGTTATGTGAATAGTAAGTTTACATAAATGAATGTGTGTATAAATATATATATATATATTTTCTTTGTCTCTTTCAGCACTCTGTTTTCTACAGTGGACACTGATGAAATACCAGCCAAAAGACCAAGATTAGGTACTGAATATAAATTTTAAAAATTTTTAAATAGGAAAAATATATGCATAGAACAAAATTCAAAAGGTAAAAAGTATGTGGTAAAAAGTAAGTCTTGGCCGGGCGCAGTGGCTCATACCTGTAATCCTAGCACTTTGGGAGGCCAAGGCAGGCGAATCACCTGAGTCAGGAGTTTGAGACCAGCCTGGCCAACGTGGCGAAACCCCGTCTCTACTAAAACTACAAAAATTAGCTGGGTGTGGTGGCAGGCACCTGTAATCCCAGCTACTCAGGAGACTGGGGCAGGAGAATCACTTGAACCTGGGAGGTGGAGGTTGCTGTGAGCTGAGATCATGCCACTGCACTCCAGCCTGGGGC